AAGAAAAAGAAAGGGTGAGTGAGTGAGTGAGTGAGTGAGTGAGTGAGTGAGAGTGAAAAATACGTTACTTTCCTGCAATATCAAAGCAATGGTATGTTTGTAGAAATCTGGAAGTCCTTTAGCAATCTGGTTAAGATCTGCTTCTCTGTAATTTTCCACCCATTGCTTCTGACTCTCTTCCTGAACAGCAACAGACTTATTGGCGACCCCTTCATCTTAATCCATGTCTGGGGAACTGTAGCTTTCTAGAAGTTCCTGAACTACAGTTCCCAGCATTCTCTTCTCCATTGGCTGGGTCTACTGGGAGTTAGAGTCCAGCCACAGCTGGAGGACCACCAGCGGTCCATCCCTGCCCTTAACGTCCTCCTTGAAAACATTTTGGCTGATTCTTGACACGCTACGCCAGATGTGGCCTGAATGCATAAGGACACAAACTAGGCATTGCAAACATCTGTGAAAGGGGGAGAGCGTTGGCCAAACCATCTTCTTCCATTTCAGACCGTTTGCCAAAAAACTCAGATGAACACAGCTACTTACCAAGCGGCCACCCAAGCTTTGAAGGCCATCAGCAAGGTAAGCTCTCCAGCGTGTGCAGAAAACAGAGAAATGACCTCTTCTGGGCCTATGTTGGCTAATCTCAACTGCTTTTGGGGGGAGAAGGGAAAGGAAAAATGTTGTTTTGGGTGCGTTGCGGTCTTTGGACACTCTCCACCCCATTTGTGAGCAGCAAGAACAGGAGGACAATTCATTTTTTTTAGCGTTCTCCAAAAGGAGGAAAAGATTTCTGAACAATGTGGCAGGTGAAGAAGAAGTTCATGGTGAAGAAGAAGTTTGGAAAGTGGTCTTCAACTATCTTGTCACTGTTCCACCAAGTTTAATAAAAACTGGTCAAAAAGCCACGTCTGCCCCTTGTTCTAGAGCAGTGTTTCTCAACAGTGGCAGCTTGAAGATGTGTGGACCTCAACTCCCAGAATTCTGGGAGTTGAAGTCCACATATCTTCAAGTTGCCAAGGTTGAGAAGGGCTGTTCTAGAGGATCTGTGCCTATTTTTAAGCATCTTCTTTGTCAAGCAAAGTTTGCACAGGGCCATTCCTTCCATCCTCCCACACCTACGTTTGCCTTTCCAGCTCGTGAAGAAGTGCAACGAGGGGGCTCACACCATGGAAAGGACCGAACAGATGTGCAGTTTGCAGAATCAGCTGGATTTTGGAAAAGTCAAGGTGAGGGCTTGCTTCCAAGAGGCTCTTCACTTCTAGTTCAGAGGGGGAAGGTGATAAATTCAGGATTGTCCCCTTACGTCAAATGGAGGTGACCATATCTGGATCAGGTGCCTCCTCCCCTCTGTTTTAGACAGCTTGTAAGAAAGATCAAGCCAGATTTTGTTGCTCATGGTGGCCAACCAGATGTCTCTGAAGAAGCGGTCTTTGGGGACATTTTGAACCTCCAGTTCTGGGCTCAACGTCCCAACGGTTGGCCTTGTAGCTGAACCAACCTTCTGCCTCTTTCAGAACTTCCCGTTGATCTCAGCTTCCCGGTGGCTGTTGAAAAGGGGCGAAGTCGCCCTCCCTCTGGCAGAAGAAGGGGGCATTTTCCGGAAGGGCTCTGGGCGGGGAAGCTGTTACCTCTTTGTCTTCAACGACGTCCTGATCATCACCAAGAAAAAGAGGTGAACGAGAAGAACATCTTGATTGGAGATTTTTTTCCTCCCCGAACATCTTGGGAATCTTAACGGTTGAAGTTATCCTTGCATTATTTTGTTTATCGGCCATATTTACATCCAGGATACCTGTGAAAGGGCTCTCGGTAGCCTGGTCAAAAGCTGAGTCTTCCCCAACTCGGGACCTCAGCTCCCGTAACTGTCAGCCCCAAGGCCACCGTAATCCAATAAAAAGCAGATTTTCCTGTCCCCAATTTAATTTTCTCCCTCCCGCTGCGGATAAGCAACAGAATTTTTAACAGACCCTTAAACAAAAGAACCCCAAGGGATATCTTGCTTGTTTCTTCATTAGATTCACAAACATTAATAGTAATCTTTGCAACCACTACAACGATAATTTTACGCAGACCCGCTATGCTCCCCGCATCGTAACATTTCCCCACCCAGCCCCATTCCCCCCGTATTCTTTCAAGGGGGTGATTTTGTCGTCTTTTTACAAATGCAAAAGTCCTTAAAAGTCCCTCGCTTACTCCCTGCCCTTGAGAAATGTGTGTTTTTTTAAATCTAAATATATATTTTTGCTATGTTTCTAATCCCCTCAATGAATCCTGGATGCCCCTCCGTTTTGTCACGGAGAACGCTTTGTAGCAGGAAGCTGAGGATATATTTTCTGGCAAGATGATTTGAGAAACGCCAGACTGGCGATCAGCTGAGGGTTGTGGAATGTGGGGTCACCGGATTCCTTAGGATGGGGTCGTGCCAGTCCCTTGCTGTCCCTGCCTCTTGCACACTCGCTGTCCGTGAGAACGGTGTGACTAAGCTGCTGGTGACGGCTTGCGCGTTTGCAAGATTTGGGAGAAATCCAAAATGTCTCTCTGCTCCCCCAAGCTTCTCTCTCAACGTTGGGCTCGTTCAACTTTCAAGGAAATTACTCATCAAAATTGCTTCCTTTTATATATTTTTTTTCTTTATGATGTCGAGTTTTTGCTCCGATTATGAGCGTTGTTCTTGTTCATTTGCAATAGGTGATTGTGCCTCAATTTGATGATGAAAGAATTGGCATTTTTAATCTGCCTAAAACAGTGTTTCTCAACCTTGGCAACTTTAAGTTGTGTGGACTTCAATTCCCAGAATTCTCCAGCAAGCTAGGCTATTGTTGAGAATTCCCAGAATGCCCCAGCCAGCTCCATTGTTGCAGAAAACTCCCCAAATCTTCCCCCCATCCGGCTGTTGTAGAGATTTCCCAGAATCCCCTACTCGCTCCAGCTGTTGAGAATTCCCAGACTGCCTCAGCCAGCTTCATCACTGCGGAGAACTCCCAGAATGCCTCCCCCACAGTCCTCGCTTTGCTTTTCTAATCCTTTGCTCACATCCGCTCAACTCCCTCCCATCTCCTTTGACTTTTCCTCCTTTGGATCAGCGAGGAGAGTTACACCGTCCTCAACTACGCCATGCTGGACCATCTCTCAGTGGAGAAGATCGAAAGCCTGGAGCTCTCGACTGGCCTCGTCCGCGGCGGCCACCTCTTCCGCCTGACCTTGCAAAAGGACAGCGAAGGCAAACAGGAGATGGTCATCTTGGCCACAGAGTCCCGGTGAGTATTCCGGGCAGTGGCCGGCGAGGGGTCGGCAGCTGACCCGCCCCAAAACTCCTCTCCGCCCGCTTGCTGTAACTCCCTGTTCACCCTCTCCTGCACAGCCAGGAGGAACGTGGCTCTTTCCCAGGGTTGTATGAATAAAGCAGGGATTGGGGGGGTCCCCATGGGGCGTGCAAAACATTTCCGGCTGAAAGCACCCTCTTTTGAGAGAGAGAGGGACGCCTTGAGTTCGAAACAAGCCACTTGGGAAACAGTCTGGTTCAAAGGGGCGTTCGGAGGTGGTCCCCAGGAGATCAGGGGCACCAAGTCCTCGGCCATGGTTTGTGTAGCAACTCCCGGTTCTAAAGTTGGAAGACTTTGCCCAGGTTTTTCACTAGTTGTGCCCTTGAATTTCTGCATCTCCTTAAACCCCATCGGACCACCTTACAAAATTGGGTAAAAGCTAGGCTGGGAAGCCCACAAACCCTGACCTCCATTGACTTCCTCTGGATATGGAGGTTCCACTCAAAACCCAACCCATCGCTCTTCTCTGTGCTTCTCTCTGGTTCGCACCTTAAACGGGGTAGATTTTGGCCTTGGGTAAGCAGGGGGATGGATATTTTCAATCAGTCAATTAAATAAAGATTGGATCAGCTTTTCATTTGGAGCATGTATGCGAGGCAACCGCTTACAGAGTATTTCCGAGTTGCCCTGTCCCCGGCTGATCTCAGGAAAATGGATCCCGGTTTTGGGATTGGATAGGAGACCACTAGGAGATCAGGCTAGATTAGGAAGTTAAAAAGCCAGCCCAATTTGAGGAAGCTGCCTTAATGGTGGGTGTTAGTCTGAATTAGGGGAAGACGAGACCAGTCTTCCAGATTCTGGATCCAAAGCCTTGCAGAAAATGCCTGGCTTTCGTGCTAAATTCAGGTTAGGGTTTGATGGCACTGACTTAGAAGGCGAGGAGAGAAATTCTCTTGTTCCTCCTCGCCTTCTGACCTGCCCGCAAACGCGTCCTTTGCTCTCTGCAGAAGTGACAGGGCTCGCTGGATCAGTGCGTTGATGCACAGAGAGGAGAAAGAGACCAGCACAGCGGAGAAAGGAGGTAAGAACGTTCACTCTTTTTCTTAAGGAAAAAAACGCACGCCTTCCCAAAACGTTGGCCTCGTGCAACCTGCCAGGCATTTGCAGAATGAAACGCCAGGCCCTCGCTCCTCTTCATCCGCCTGTCCCGAGAAGTTATGCACCCCCCTTAACCCAGCTCTGGGCCCGCCCATCGCTGTGTTGGAATCACAGCTTTGGGAACCAACTGAACCCGTGCAACGTGACCCATCAATCGTGGCTTACGGGCTCCAAGAGCTGCGTTGGCATATTGCAATCGCTTTGGGGGGGGGTGTAATACATTTGCCTGTCAAAGATCTTTTTTGGGGCGGGAGGGGAGACTAGGGCTGTTTCCCAATCTGAATTCTGTGTCCAGATGTTGATCTGCAGCTGTTTTCATCTCCCTCCCCCCCCC